AGAGATGCTCAGGGCATGCAGCCATAAGTGACACTCTGGGTTGTGGTCCCTGACGGTGCCAGTGATCGCTAGGACGGGTTGTACTAAAATGCCAGTGTCTGGGGCCTGTTTGTGTGCTTGTATGTACACACCTACATATGCATGTGAGCATGCGTATGTATGCACATGTGTGTATGTTTACATATGGGCATGTGTACGTGTGTGAGCACATGTGCGTACACACAAGTTTGTGTGTGTGTGTGTGTGTGTGCGCGCGCGCACACACACGTATTCTAGGACAGATTTGACTGGGTCCCATGACACTGGAACGAATCCATAGTATCCAGGGGCCATGCAGTCACTCCTTCAGTCCACTGTGGGTCCCAGGCCCTTGGTGCTCATCACAGATTACCTTCAGCCTGTAAAGACAGCAGGTCTGTAGTCCCCCACCCCTCCCAAAGACACCTTAGTTTTCTTTCCTTTTTTTTCCCTTCCTTTTTAATTAAAAAAAAAATTTACAAAAGGGACCTGTCCAAAGCTTCAAGGGATTTGGGGTGGGGGGCAAGAATTCTTAGGCAAAGAGGCCACATGCAGACTAGAGTCCATGTGCACAGCCAGTGCTGGGGTAGGAAGGCAGGGTGATGCAGGCCATGGGCTTCACCCAGTTCACTCTTGCATGCCACACGTTGGCTGTGAGAATTCTAAATTTAGGGCATGGGAAATGGCTCAGTGGCAGAGCACTTGCATATGGGAGGCCATGGATTTGATCCCCAGCACAATAAACAAAAGCAAAAACAAGAAAACTGCCCTCAATCTAAACCTGCCGTTCTGCGGTGTCACAGGTTTTGTTCACTGATACTTTAACTATACATTCGATTTATTACCTAAAAAATTTAAATACACATATGTGGTGATATTTTGTTTATGATTAACAAATAAAGCTTGCCTGAAGATCAGAGTGCAAAGCTAGCCACACTAGTTAGCTATAGAGGCCAGAGCAGTGGTGGTACACACCTTTAATCCCAGCACTCGGGAGACAGAGTCAGATCTCTGTTAGTTCTAGGCCAACCCTGGGCTACCCGAGGAGGAAACAGAGCTCACACAAAGGTGATCCCAGCACTTGGGATTCCCATGCCTTTAATCCAGGCACTCATGAGGTGGAGGCAGGAGTGACATGGCTGGGTGGAGAGGAGTGTAAGGAGGGAGCACACAGGAGAGAGAGATGCAGTCCAAGCAGTCTGAGGCAGCAGGCTGAGGGCAGGATCCTCCCTTTGGTCTGAGCACTGGTAGAGGTGAGAACTCTCTAGTGACTGGCTTGCTTCTCTGATCTTCAGCTTGAGCCCTAATATTTGACTCTGAGTTTTTATTTTTAAGAACAATTACAACTCGTGCTACATGCATAGGACATGTGGACCTCTGATGTGTGCGGAATGGGCCTGATTTTACGGCTTTTCTGGAGCTTGGAACGGTGCCTAGGCTTTAACACAGCAGGTACCCAAGAAGCCACTCTGTGTGACAAGGGCTCACTCCTGCCACCAGCTGCCCTCAGGTCCTGAATTGTGTCAGATTCTGAAATGCATGTAAGAACACAAACAAGTCGGAGGCCAACTACTTAAAAGGGGACTTTATTTACTCCTTTGGAGCAGCGTGCTAACGCCCGACTCCTCTCCAGGACATGACAATTCCGCAAAGCTCCTGTTCCCTTCGGAACCAAGACCACCTGGCACTAAAAACACATTGAAAACATTGATTCTCTTCCCTTTTTTTTCTCCTTTTTTCTTTTTCGGTACAAAATGATACAAACGACAATACAAAATATTTGTGCTGTTGACGATTACAAAAAAGTCAGAACATCTGTCTCACCGCACGATGCTCAGAGCTGCAGTGTGAACACATCATACTCCGGTATCTTTCCCAAAACAACCACGGTCATGCGGGCTGCTACACATTTGTCCATTTTCAAAAAATAAACATGCAAAAAAATCATAATGAAAAAAAAGAAGAAGAAAAAAAGCAAGATGCGTCCCAGGTGTATATGGAGGTGTTTTCCACCGGCTGGCTGGTGTGGCAGAGCCTGCTCAGTATTCGGTATGAGTTACGGCACCTGGCGCTCTACGCAGGGCAATTCTGCTTTGAGTTTTTGGTTTTGTCTTTCAGCTTGGGTGGAAGTGGAAACTTCCCCTTCCCTGTTGACCTTGGAGAGCACGGAGGTACCACTGTCAATGGACCACATGCTCACTCTGGGGAAACTGATGCATCTCTGTGGGCCTGGCCATTACTCTGACACTTTGGTGGCAGGGTGCCCAGTGTTTTGGATGTGCTGAAAGACATGAGAGAAGCTGCTGGCTGGGGGTCAGGTGTGACTGAGGCTGACCATGGCCAGGTGGTCTTCCAAGCCGCTCAGCAGTGCAGGTTTCTCCCTAAAGGAACTGACAGCATCCTTGTGCCCACAGAGCTGGCCACCAGCCTGGTTTGGCTGGGCCCTGACACGTCGTATCTACAAGCTACAGAAGGGAGACATTTGACACTGTATGCTTCGCTAATGCTAACTTGTTGGCCTTGGAACAGAGTTCCAAGATGAGTCTGGGGATGCGAGGAACCCTATCTTTCTCACTGATCGGGGTGTTGGGTGAAAGGGGCAAGCTGTCCAGTTTTTAGGGAACCCCATGGACATTCCTGCAGGGGCCTGGCAGTGACAGAGGTCTGGGTGGGTGGGGGGTCAGGGGAAGGTGGAGGCAGGTGAGACAGTCCTCCAGATAGCTGATAGATTTGGTCCCTCCCACCCCAGAGTTCCAAGAAAGCCTTGGGATTTCAGAGGCGACTACCAGGTTCCCAATCATATGCCCACTTCCAATAGAGCATTCACAGTTCTCGGGTTTTCCAAAATCAAACCCAGAAAATTCTTCTCATTCCCCCAGCCCTGACCCACACCAATCCCACCAGTGGCCATGCCAAGCTCAGTACCACCCTCACTGGTTTTGGACCCCGAGCAATTTGCATAGGAGAGCTTATCTCCCCCCACCTACCCCAGCCCCGGGCCCTACCCCTGGCCTTCCATGAGCTCTGCTGGTCGGGCTGGGTGTAAGGAAAAGGACTCCCAGGAAGCTACAGAGGCCTCCTAGGACAGCCGTTCAAGGAGTGAGAATGGACACAGCTGAACTCACAGCCAGCTCAAGTCCAGGAATTCAGAGTGGGGACAGGTTTGGTTTGGGAAAGAACCCTGACATCCAATGGGTCACACCCACAAGTTTGGCACCCATGAGTTGACTCAGGTGCATCTTTGAGGCCAAAGAAGTCTGGAAAAGGAACCTAGCCATAGGGACAAGTCAGAGGCCATGAGGAGCCATGAATTAGAAACCTCTGTCTGGGAGTGTGCTATCTCCTGGGTACCCCAAGCTCTTTTGAAGCCATCTTGGTCCCCCAGTAGTAGGCATAGGCTGGGGATCTCAGCTGAACTTATTTTTCATCAATGCTGAGATTTCCACTGTCTGCCCAAGGAGGCTCAGACACCAAGCTACTGGCACTCCTGACATCTTTCTTGGGGGAGTATGTTGTATTGCCTGGGGTAAGCCAGGAAGCTGACTCAGCACAGGGAGCTCCTCCAGGGCCTGCCTTTCTTCTCCATCCCAGGGCTCCTTTGGGCTCAGACAGGTGAATGTCCTAGGTCTGTTTTCCCTTCTAGTGAGAAGGGCAGCTTTGCCATCTCCCTTAGGTCCTTGTACAATGTCTATTCACTGCCCTACACAAGTGGTCACTGCCCAGTCTGTCCTGTGTCAAGCTACCCATGCAAACTGCAATGCCAGATCCAGAGAACAATGGAAACATGGTTCCAAGCCAGAGCATCTGTGGTCACACGGACATGTAAGAGAATCTCGTGGGCCACTTGGAATAGGCCCTGACATCCATAGCAGTTCACTGGGCCAGGCAGGAGCTTGGGCTAAATGGGCCCAGGGAAGCCAAGCAGATGCCACCGTCTGGCCAGGCTCTGCTCTCTGCCCTCTGCACAGCCTGGGGAGTGTGTTGAGAGCGTTCAGGGGTTCTGTTGAGGGGTGCTTGTGATTGCTGTGCCTTCAACAGGATCCCTCAGGGGCTCACCCTGAAGGGTGCAGGGCAGTGCCAGGGTTCATCTGGATGCTGTGGCTTCTTAGACAACACGCTGTCCTGGACCAAAGCAAAAGGGGATCTTGGTGGCATTGGGGGTGACGGCTGGTCCAGAGAGGCTTTCTGGCGGACATGGCAGTGGCCAAGTGCAGAGGTGAGGACCGCTTAGGGTGGTCTCTTGGCACCCCACACCTGCCCCGGCTATTTACAGTATCTCAGAGGGACAGGACACAAGTTCAGGTGAAAGCTGAATCCACACAGAAGTGTCTCTGCTGATAGAGTTGGGCTAGCCCACTGCCTTTTGGCACCGGAAAAAGTCCGATCCTCACTTAGCAGCCTTGGGGAGCCCAAAAGGCCCAGGAGACACTGACTGTGCACAACAAAAGCTGTGGAGATCTAGACCCCATACTATTTTTGCAAATAAGCCATCCCCTTTCTTTTTCTTAATAAAAGACTTTTAAAAAAGACATATTCTCTTCCACTCCTTGCCTGTTGCCTTTAGAAGGGACCAGATAGGGTCAGGGGCTGTGGGTGGGGTGGACAGAGGTGGGGTCTCGGGCTGTCGCCTCTTTCAGTCACTCCTGAGTTAGGGAATCTGTCACGTGTACCAAAAGGCACTTTTGTTTTTTGTTTTTGTTTTTGTTTTTGTTTTTGTTTTTGTTTTTTTTTTTAACAGTGCTTTTGTTGTAAGAAATTCAAGTTAGGGCTGTGCCTCTGGCTCTCCCTTCGCGGTACGTGGCTACTGAGATGCCGCAGTGGTGGTTGGTGCCTGGTGGCCTATGTCCATACTGCTCAGTTCCACTCGGGGGATGGCAGTGGGGAGGGGCCTCTTGACACCAGGACAACTCCAGTGCCTTGGCTCAGTCCCGCTGCTCCGGCCTCGAGTGCCCTTCTCATGTCAGCGGGAGAGGTGAGGTTGGCTAGTCCTCCTCGCCACCCCCATACATGTCCGCCAGTTTCTTGAACCGGGGCCCCCAGTCATTCAAGTAGTCATAATCTTGATCCCCAGAGCTAGAGGAGTTCAGGGAGCTGACAGAGCCTGCGGTAGAACCACTGCCCTCATAGTCGAAGACTAGCAGGGAGTCATACGGGGGTGCTGTGGGGTCATTGTCAGCAGCTCGGAGTCCCTGTGGATCATAGAGACAAGGGGTTAGGGTGGAGTGTGTGCTGTCAGTTCACTGACCTGACAGAGGAGGACCCACACAAGCAAGTAGGAGGAGGGCAGGGTCTTATATACAGTAGGTACTCAATAACTGCTGCATGTGTTTGTCTGCAGTGCGTGTCCAAGGACCAAATAAGGGAGTGTGCTTATAAGAGCAGACACGGGCTAGAGAGATGACTTAGTGGTTTGGAGCACTTTGCAGCCCCCACATGGCAGCTCACAACCATCTATAGCTCCAGTTCTAGGGGAATCACCACATCTTCTGACCTCTGTGGGCACTGTACACACTTGGTGCACAGACATAAATGCAGGCAAAGTACTCATACATATAAAATAAAATATATAAATCTAAAAAATAGTAAGACATGGAATGTAGGGGCAGGAAGCTCAAAGCTACCGGCAGCTATATCAAGAATGATGTTGGGCACAAATAGCAATAAAGTGTCTTGGGGTCACTCTAACCAAACAAGTGAAAGACCTGTATGACAAGAACTTCAAGTCTTTAAGGGAAGAAATTAAAGAAGATGTCAGAAAATGGAAAGATCTCCCATGCTCTTGGATAGGTAGGATCAACATAGTAAAAATGACAATCCTACCAAAATTAATCTATAGATTCAATGCAATCCCCATCAAAGTCCTGGCACAGTTCTCCCCAGACCTTGAAAGAACAATACTCCACTTCATGTGGAAAAACAAAACAAAACAAAAACCCAGGATAGTCAAGTCAATCCTGTACAATAAAGGATCATCTGGGGGCATCACCATCCCGGACTTCAAGCTCTACTATAGAGCTATAGTAATGGAAACAGTTTGATATTGGCATAAAAACAGACAGGTGGACCAATTGAATCGAATTGAAGACCCTGACATCAACCCACACACCTATGAGCACCTGATTTTTTGACAAAAAAGCTAAAAATATAAAATGAAAAAAAGAAAACATACTCAACAAATGGTACTGGTATAACTGGCTGTCCACAGGTAGAAGAATGCAAATAGATCCATATCTATCGCCATGCATAAAATTCAAGTCCAAATGGATCAAAGACCTCAATATAAATCCATCCACACTGAACCTCATAGAAGAGAAAGTGGGAAATACATTTGAATGCATAGGCACAGGAGACCACTTCCTAAATAAACACCAGTAGCACAGACACTGAGAGCAATAATGGGACCTCCTGAAACTGAGAAGCTTCTGTAAAGCAAAGAACATAGTCAACAAAACAAAATGGCTCCCTATTGGGAGCCATACAGCTTGGCATGAACCTTTAGGCCCAACTTGGCAGGCCACAGGGTTATAGAACTGTCATTTGATTATAAATGACTTCTAGAAGCATGAACACCCAGAAGGTCAATCCTTTGTTCCAACCACAGGCCCACTAAACTATGCAACCGTCCCTTGCCCCACTACTTACCTAGGTAACCCTCCCTCATCCCACCACCCATGAACTTTTTACCCTGCCAATATCCTCTTTCTATAGTTTTCTGACATCCTGTTTAAACTAATACGTGGCTCTTGGCCTCTTCTCCCCCTCCCCTTTACCTTACACTACTGACTATGTAAGCTAGCCTGGAAAAAACAAAATTTGCCACTTGATCAGACTCCTGTCTTATGATCATTCTCTCTGAGTCTGTTGTCCCCATTCCCCTCCCTGGACTTCTTGCCCTAGGTTGCTGTCCTAAGGGTCGGGACAACTACAACTCCCTACAGAATGGGAACATATCTTCACCAACCCCACATCTGACAGAGGGCTGATCTCCAAAATATACAAAGAACTCAAAAAGCTAGAAATCAAGCTACCAAATAATCCAATTGAAAAAATGGGGTACAGATCTAAACAGAGAATTCTCAACAGAAGAAACTCAATTGGCCAAAAGACACATAAGGAAATGTTCAATATCCTTAGTCATCAGGGAAATGTAAATCAAAACCACTCTGAGATTCCATCTTACACCTATCAGAATGGCTAAGATCAAAAACACCAATGACAGCTTATGCTGGATAGGATGTGGAGAAAGGGGAGCACTCCTCTGTTGCTGGTGAAAGTGAAAACTTGTACAGCCACTGTGGAAATCAATATGGTGATTTCTCAGAAAATTAGAGATCAGTCTACCTCAAGACCCTGCAATACCACTGTTGGGCATATACCCAAAGGAGGCACATTCATACCACAAGGACATTTGCTCAACTATGTTCTAGCAACATTATTTGTAATAGCCAGATCTTGGAAACAACCTAGATGCCCCTCAACTGAAGAATGGATGAAGAAAATGTGATACATTTACACAATGGAGTACTACTCAGCGGTAAGAAACAATGACATCCTAAAATTCTCAGGCAGATGGACAGAACTAGAAAAAATCCATCCTGAGTGAGGTAACCCAAAACCAGAAAAACAAATGTAGTATATACTCACTCATAAGTAGATAGCAGACATAAACCAAAAGATACCCAGCCTATAATCCACAACCCCCAGAGAAGCTTGAACCCTCTTCCAGAAACAGATGGAAGCAGATGCAGAAATCCACAACTAGTCATTGGACCAAGCTCCTGGAGTACAATCAAAGTGAGAGAGGAGAGACAATATGAACAAAGGAGCCAAGATCGTGATAGGGAAACCCACAGAATCAGCTGACCCGAGCTACTGAGAGATCACTGACTCGGGTCTGACAAATGGGAAACCTGAATAAGACTGAACTAGATTCCCTTAATATAGGTGACAGTGGTGTGACAGGGACAATATATGAGGCCACTGGCAGTGGGTCCAAGATCTAATTCTAATGCACAAACTTACTTAGTGGAGCCCATTCTACATGGAGAGATGCCTTGCTCAGCCTAGACACAGGGGTGTGGGGGTGGATAGTCCTGCCCCAATGAGATGATGGGATAGACTTAGTAAACTTCCTAGGGGAGGCCTCACCCTCTCTGAGGAGCAGATGGGAGGAGGGGAGGTGTAGTAAGGGGAGCAGGAGGAGAGAAGGGAGGGGGAACTTGTAGGGAGAGACCCTAATTACTTGTATTGCTGAAGTGGGTGTGGTCACAGGTAGGTAGTAGGGTGTAGATAAGGGTGAGGGAGAGCTGGGCTCTCTCTCTCTCTCTCTGTCACTCTCTGTCTCTCTCTCTCTGTCTGTCTCTCTCTCTCTCTCTCTCTCTGTCTCTCTCTCTCTGTCTGTCTCTCTCTCTCTCTCTCTGTCTGTCTCTTGGGGTTGAGCCAGCATTGGGAAGCATTCTGGGATCAGACCGCTCAGAGTGCCCATCTGGTTACTGATTCCTCGTGTGAGTACAACTGCTCAATAAATTACCAGTTAATAACCTATCTCGGATTCCATTCGTGTTCCTCTATAGGAACTAGGATTGGAGTATAAAAAGTAAATTAATAATAAAAAAGAATATGGGCTGGGTCATGTGTAGTGTGCTGCCCCACCAAGGGTTGGGGTTGGAACAGGGTTAGGTGCAGGGTTAAATTCAGGGCTAGGGCCAGGGTCAGGGCTAGGCTAAGTTTAGAGTTAGGGCTATTGTTAGTGTTAAGGTAGGGTTACAGCTGTTCTAGGGTTTGCATTAAGGTTGTGTTATGATAAATCTTTCTGCCAAAAGCCACCGAGCCCCACTGCCACGTGTATGCTTTACACCAGCCACCTGCCCGAGTTAGGCCCAAATGAATACACAGAAACTTGTATTAGGTTCAAAGCTGCTTGGCCAATGACTAGGACTTCTCATCTGCCAACTATCATAAACCTATATATTTTATAAGACTTATCTTATCGGACACCTTATTGGCATCCCTCCTTGCTGGGATCACATCTTGCCGCTGGAGCAAGGTTAGGGTTCAGATTAGGATTAATGTCAGGGCTCAAAGTCAGGCTTAGGTTAATGCTTAGGATTAGAGTCACAGCTCTTCAATGGTTAGTATGAGGATAGCTATGGTTTGGCCTGATGCTAGGGCTAGAGTTGGAATTAGGATTAGGGTTAGGTTTAATTCAAAGCCTAAGTTTCTGGCTAGGGTTAGGTTTATGGTTATGGGTAGGGTTAGGGTTACAGTTAGGGCTAGGTTAGGGTTAGGGCTAGGTTATGGTTGTGGTTATGGTTATGGTTACAGTTAGGGCTTAGTTAGGGTTAGGGTTAGGGACAGTGCTGAGTCTTGTTAGTGTCAGGGATAAGGTAAGGTTGGGTTAGGGTTAGTGTTAGCATAGTGGTTCTCAACCTTCCTAACGCTGTGACCTCTTAGCACTGGTCTACATGCTGTGGTGACCCCCCAACCATAAAATTCTTTCAGTGCTTTTTCATAACTGTAAATTTGCTACTGTTATGAATTATAATGTAAATATCTGTGTTTATCTTAAGGCAACCTCTCTGAAAGAGCTGTTTGACCTCCATAGGGGCTGTGACCCACAGATTGAGAACCACTGTGTTAGAGTTTGGGTTTTGGGTAGGGTTAGAGTTGGTTTTTGTCTTAGTTTCATGGCTGTGTTATGTGCTTATGTCTAAACTAGAGTTAGGGCTAGCATAAGGGTTAGGATTATGTCTAGGTTTTAGGTAGGGTAATGTTAGAGTAAACGTATTATTAGGTTATATTTAAGGTTAGTTTTGTTTTTAGGGTTATAGTTATAATTATGTTAAAACTAGAACTAGGATTGTGGTTATGGTTGCACCATAACCAGGGTTAGGAATAGGTCTGGGTTTTGACAGGGATTATGTTTAGGGCTAGGGCTAAGCTTCTGTTGGTTTGGGTTAGTGTTAGGATTATACTAGGGTTATGGCTAGCATTATTATTTGTGCTAGGGGCATTATTAGGTTTTGGGACATGACTAGGGTTATGGTTATGGTTATGATTATGGTTAGGGGCTTGTCGATGTCAAGGATAGGGCAAAATTGGGTTAGAGTTAAGGTTATAGATATGGGTCAGGCAAGATGAGGGACAGAAGTGTATGTTTTGTGTCTTCCTTATAAAAAAAAAATTTTTTTTAAAGATGGTCTTCCTTCAGCCCAGGCCTTGATCTCACTGTGTGGTTCAGCTGACTAAATCACCATGTTCAATTCTCTGCAGAGCTGGGGATCAAACCTAGAGCCTTGTGCTACGAGGCCGGCACTCTGCCCTTGAGCCTGGCCCTCAGGCTTCACACTCTTAATTCTTTCTCTTTTTAAAATTTTTTATTTTAATTCCCCCTCCCACTCCAGTTGTTCTTTTGTATTTACTCTCTCTAACTCTCCATTATGTAGTGAATGCTTTGTGTGTTCTTCTGATGGCTGCTTTGGCCCAGCTCTGCCCTGGGAAGGAGATGTTATTCTCATAACCCATACCTTTACTCTCTGCATAATTTCTTCTGAGTGACTTAAAAGTAGGCTGTGCACTGGAGGTTGGGGTTTGGTGGGACATGCTTTGCGTGGCTTAAGCATTTTGTTTTTCATGATGTTGTCTGAGTGTTAGTGGCTGTGGTACTTTGAATGTCATGGGCCCCCATAATCTCATAGGGAGTGGCACTGTTAGGAGGTGTGGCTTTGTTAGAGGAAGTATGTCACTGTGGGGGCGGGCTTTGTGGTTTCCTATGCTCAGGATACCACCCAGTGTGTCTCAGTCAACTTCCTGTTGCCTGCAAGATGTAGGACTCTCAGTTACTCCTCAAGCACCATGTCTGCCTGCACACAGCCATGCTCCCCGCCATGATGATAATGAAGTGAACTTCTGAAACTGTAAGCGAGCCACCCCAGTTAAATGTTTTCCTATATAAGAGTTGCTATAGCCATGGTGTCTCTTCACAGCAATAAAAGCCCTAACTAAGACAGTGGCTGTCAGGACTTGATGATATTTCCTGCGAATGTTCTGAGGAAATTTCTGGATGTTTGCTAGCTCACAACCTGGGATCTCCTGCAATAGAATCTGCCTCTGGCTGAGGTATAAGTGTTGCTTACCCCATTTCAAATACAATGAGTCTGGAGGACCTGGTGGTATAGCTACAACCCACCTCTCCCATGTCCATGCTGGTGGGTAGGCAGGGTCACAGATGGGACCCCGGGGAAGCTACTGTCACTGTTTTTGCTTGCTTTACTGCACAAGAAGGTGGACAGAGGTGTTAGCCAGGGACACATTTGGTTGAACAATGACATTTCCTGACACAAAAGTCATTTGCTTTCCAGAAAGGTATGGTAACTGATTTTTCTAGATTCTTCACTCCCAGTGTTATTGCTCTCACCTATGATTGGCCTTGAGAGGTCACCTGACATTTTTAAACTCACCATTCCCTGGTTACTCCTAGCAACCATGTGTCCCCAAAGGGAGTGTCTCACTCCCTTTCCCTCACCACCCTTCCTGCCCTATAGCTACTGCAGCCTGTAAGCAGATGACGAGTTTTCTGGTTTATTGAACCAAAGATCTCCTTCTGCAGACCCCTACCCTCGCCTGCCAAATAAAACTATGCTATTGTACAGTCATTATTTCCTTTTGGAAGATTTTGTAAGAGACAGGGAGTGGTGCGACCTGAAGCCTGAGCCTTTCCTGGCTCAATGGTGAGAGACCAAGCTTCTCGTAAGGTATGGAGGTCTTGCTGTCGGGTCTTAATACAGCCAAAGGCTGAAGGCCAGAAAGGGCTCTGTGGGGTGCTTGGATTCTCACCTTTGTATTGTGACAGGCACAGGGGTCAGAGGTGGCTGAGTAGAGACATACAGGTCAGTTTCCTTGGGTACTAGGGTTTCAGTGTGGGAAGGACATCCCCAGCAGCACTGACTTAGAGTGCTCAAGAGCTGTATTGGTGCCTTTGCCATTTCTCCTGAGACTAATTCTTCCTACCGTTGTCCTATTGCAGGCACAGGGGTCCATTGGCCCCATTTCCCACTGGGCATCTGGTGAGGGCTAAGCTACAAAGCCAGGAACCTTAGGCCTCCTCAGAGGTGCCAGGTCAGCCGCTAATGTTTTCAAGGCCACACAGCAGGAGGTCAGGCCTGGTCTCAAGTCTGGGTCTAGCCACTTCTGACCCTGTAGAGCTCTGTGTGTATGTGGGATAAGATTTTACTTTTAAAGGAGACTCCTTCGGGCGCTGGTGGCAGCATCACTCAGGAGGCAGAGGCAGGTGGATCTCTGTGAGTTCGAGACCAGCCTGGTCTACTGAGTGAGTTCCAGGCCAGCCTCCAAAGCTACAGAGAAACCCTGTCGAGAGAGAGAGAGAGAGAGAGAGAGAGAGAGAGAGAGTCCTTGCTCAGGTCCTCCCAAGGTTCATACCTCATTGATGAAGTCTCCGATGTCCCCTGGGTGGGGCACCACAGGCCTGACTGGGTACTGGGGCTCAGCTCCTACCGGCCGCTCGTCCACCCGCCGCACACCAGGGGCCTTGCTCAGCACATGCTCCATGGCTTCCGGCTGTTGTAGCTGGCTGAGGTCGTAGTCCTGGGGATGGAGGGCAAATGAGCCAGGGGAACTGGAGAGCCCTGAGCACATCCTGGGTCAGTTTCCTCACTGCTCTGAGGGTGCTACTGCACCCGTCTCCAAGCACACTTAGCTGCCTTGTTCCATCCCCCAGGCCTGCCCCATCCACACTGTCCACCTCTTTCCCATTTGCCCCAGTCCTGCCTGACCTCCAGGCAGCCATGGCGTCTGTGCCTGCCACCTGCCTTGCCAAAGCCTGGAGCTCCCTCGTAGCAAGTGACCCTCCTGCCCTCAGTTCAGCAGCCTTGTGGGCCACCCTCGCACTGACAGGAAGGGGCTAGGCCCTCCTTGCTGCTACCGGATAGTTCTGTGAAGCCCCTACCCCGGGGATGTCCAGGAGGTGGGCGTTGGTGCCCGCAGAGGACTGTGTCCTGTTTCTCCCAGGACACAGGACAGCAGCAGGTGGGGACGGGGTGCTGGAGAGGGAGGAGCACGGGAGGAGGACAGGTCTGATGAGAGGACGTAGCAGAGCCTGCATAGTCAGCCCAGGCCTGAGCGCACACGGGAGAGCCCCGCTGCGCCCCGCGGGCCCGCGGGTGCGGTCGGGAGGCTCACCTGGTCCTCCTCGCCACCGCCTTCCTCGTCATACTTGAGGATGTTGTCGCGGACGTCGTCCTCAGGGTCGATGAGCAGCTGCTTCGTGTGCCGCTCCTTCTCCCTCCGCCTCATCCACACAACGAACAACAGGACCATGGCTATGAGAGGAGGGGCCGCATTGTGAGCTGCTTATGCGTACACGGACATATGTGTGCACACGTGTACACAGGGGTAAATGTGTGTGCACGCCCAGGCATGTCATGGATGTGCATTCCGTGTTTATCTACATAAGCTATGCCCTGTCCTTACAGCACACAGTGGGGTTGCAGGCATGTGCACAGCTATGCCCTGTCCTTGCAGCACACAGTGGGGTTGCAGGAATGTGCACAGCTATGCCCTGTCCTTACAGCACACAGTGGGGTTGCAGGCATGTGCACAGCTATGCCCTGTCCTTGCAGCACACAGTGGGGTTGCAGGAATGTGCACAGCTATGCCCTGTCCTTATATCCCACAGTGGGGTTGCAGGCATGTGTACAGCTATGCCCAGGGATTCTAGGAATTTGAACTCAAGCCCTTATGCTTTTGCAGTAATCGCTCTTACTACTGAGTCATCTCTTCACCCCCTGCCATGCAATTCATTTTGTGAATATTTTGTCTGCAATTGATCTCATATACAGATGTGGAACCTGAGGGTACAAATGGCCCACTGGATTCATTTCCTCCTTCATGGAGGTGGCTGACTGAGCACAGATGTCACTACTTAAGGGTCAGAAGGACAAGGGTAGAGGGTGAACCAAGGGACAATTATTCTTCAGAAGGTGAGGCTTTGTGTCCAGAAGGCAAAGGGAAGGGTTTCAGGGTACCATGTTTCTAGGCAGGAGCCATGGTAGAGTGGTGCTCCCATGGTGGAAGGAGACTGGGGAGGAGGGAACCCAGAAGGGCCTCGAGCAGGTAGGCCAGGGCTGAGTAGAAGCCATCTCCTATACCTCCAGAGGCCCCGGGCCACTCCTGGGGAACACACTGGGATAAGGGGTAGCTTATCCTGAAGGACTTGGGTGCAGGATGAGAAATGTGTCCCTATTTGTCACATTGTGGGTGTGCCCTCTTTGCCACTGGCCTTGGCTCCATGCTGTGTGGCACTCTGCTTATCTCTGGACCCCTGGGAGCCTCAGTTTTGCATGCTCCTTCCTGCTAGGTCTCTGTTCCTGTCTGGGTTCTGAGAGCAGGGCTCCTGTGAACACAGAGGAGACGGGGCACCTGGATCCTCATGAAGGTGTTGTCTCCAGGAGTGCTTCCTGCAGTCTCCTGTCATCTCGCCACTGTTAGACATTAGAGGAGGTACCAGACAAGCACTCCAGTGCCTGGGGTGGGGAGGGCAGTGTCAACAGGAACCCCATGCAGACGGAAGCAGGGGTGTGGGAAGGGATGCAGACTGTCTGTGGGGTGGTCAACTTGATCAAGTGGTTTGATTGAGTGCTGTGATGAGAAAGATTGCAGCTAGCTTGGCGGCCAGAACCCTGCAAGTGACAGATAGTATTTCTTTCAAACATAGGATGAGGTGGTAGCCAGGGGACCTCTTGATGTGGCCCAAGTTGTGGACAGGGCACTGGAGATAGCGGGGGAGCACCCACCTGCGAGAATCTAAGCAGAAACCAGAAACCTTGAGCCACTCTCTACAAGATCAAGTGGCCAGAGAGTCATCTGAACAGCTGGTATGTCAGATAGGTCACCCGAGGAGAGGTGTAGAGGGAGCTTGTGGGAGAAGGGATGGCCCCTCCCTCCCCCATGGCTCATCCTCTGAGAGGGAGACAGGGCTGGCTGTACTCGGGTCCCTGGCTTAGTACACTCAAGAGGCTCCTTCTCTCTCTCATATGGGTACTGGCTACTGCTGTGTTCTCCGTCCCTGTCTCTTGTGTCTTCAGAGACAATGCAAGCCCCAACCCTGCCCAAGAGTCACCCCCTCCACAATAGGGCTGATCTCACATAAAGAAGACACCACACTGACTGTCTGGTCAAAGGCCTTGGCCAGATGTAGTTAGAGGGAACCCTGGGTCTGAACAGAAGAGAGGGAATGGTCTTGGATGTGGCTCGTCCACGTGGAGGTCCTGATGCCTGGTCCTTAGCCCTTTCCTGCAAGTGGTGCAGAACCTTTAGCTCATTGTAATTAGGAGAGGGGCTGTTGACCCTCCAACACGACTGCTGTTGTGGTATCTGGGCTACTGTGGACCAGGACAACTGTCCAGGTGGGAGGATGGTACATCAGCACCATTTCTAAGCATCCTTCTTGTTCCCCATTGCCTTTGATTTTGAGCAGGGAGCCTCATGGCTCTGGGAAATGCAAGAAGCCACTGGAGCATGTGACACCACCAGAGCCAATGAGCACATTCCATTCCCAGCCAGAGACTGGTCTTGAGACACATGCATAATCTGACTGGTGCAGGGGGCTTGGGTGGGTTGTTGCCAAACAGGAACTGTCATTCCCTCAGTGTTTACCTGAGAGTGGCCTGCACATATTGGGGGCCAAGGAAGGGGTCAGTCTGGGGTTCAGGGAGTTCTCCCTTGGGAGGCAGAGTCCAAAGATGGACCAGACTGGGCAGCTGTGTCAGGCTGGCCCTCCATTTGGGTTAGAGGGACAAGGTGGGGGACTCTTATTTTCTTATCCTGTATGGACTAGTGTGGTTGGGCCTCAGGGAGGTTCCCAGGATATAGGAAGCCACTGAGTAAAGTGGCTGTGGAGCTGCTTGGATCTCATGCCTGCCTGGCTGTCTGTGGGACACGGAACGCCTGTACCCAAGAAGCCCATACTCACTTAGCAGGATCACGATGCAAATGAGGATAGCCACAATGGCGCCTGTGCCCAGGCCAGCAGCAGCCACTGCACCAATGGTGGTACAGTCACCATTCTCATCACATGGGCACACCTTGACTTTTATGATGGACGTGTTGGACAGGGGAGGGTTGCCAGAGTCTGTGACGATGATGGGGACATCATACACCCCTGCCTCCAGGTACAGAATTCGCAGACTGAGCTGGGCATAGTCACCTGAGTGAGGGACAGCAACATTGGGCCAATGGTCAGCTCTACTTCCCAAGGAAGACTTCCATAGTAGCCACTGAATCTGATAGCATGAAAATCTCTCCTTCATGCACACATGTGCGTGCACATAGATCATGCACTCACACACACACACACACACACACACACACACACACACACAACCCCCATACCATTAAGTTAAAGACATTGAGTTGGGGACATGGTTCCATTGGTGATGTTCTCAACACACAAGCACAAGGGTCTGAGTTTTTGCCCCCAGGACTTATGTCGAAAACCTGACACAGAGTGTATACGTAATCTGCAGAAGCAGGCAGATTTTTGGAGCTTGCTGGCCAGCCAGAGAGGACCTGTCTACACAAGCAAGGTGGACAACTCTCAAGGCACAACAGTGGAGCTTGCCTATGACTGCCTGTGCACACGCACATGCATGTATCTGCAATGTGTGTACCTGCACACCTACAGTGACACACAAAGCTAAAACATTGACCATATCAAAAGACAGAGTCAACGTGAAGGATGAAGACATCATTTCCTGAATGTATAGAGTTTTATGAAATCAATTAGGGAAAAAAAACCCAAAGAGAAAAGGCAAAGGTATTAAACAGGAACCTCTGTGTGTGAAAGTTCTGCCCCTGGAGCCCAGAGACAAAAGAAGGCAATGGCTTTGCCTCTTGAAGCAACAGCCCGCCATGCTGGCATCGGTAGTTTTGCTGGTGGAAGCATGAATGGGCATCGCATCTCTAGGAAGTTGCAATGGTCCTAAGGCTGGCCACACCTGAGAATGAGGTCACCCTGTCATAGGGGTAACAGGAAGAAGTACCTCCTAAGAGGATGCAGCCTTCAGGGACCAGTCAACCCACAATGGCTGCCAGCATGGTCCAAGCGAGGCTCTCTCTAAAACATCAAGGCACTAGGCACTAGGAACAAATGGGTGGCTTTGTGGTGGAGACAGGGGTAAACACGGCCATATCCCCAGCCTTGTGTAAACTGTCTGGGCGGGTGAGGACTGTCTCTCATCTATGTGGCTCACTGTTCCTGGGTGATACATCCTGAACTACATCCTAGGTCCTGGTTCTCCCTGTCCAGGGCTCTGCTGGTGAGCTCACCATTTAGGCGGGTGATGGTCCAATTTTTCCTCACTGTAGTAGGGATGAAGGGCAACTCAAAGACGTAGGGGCCGATGTTGGGGTCCATGTCAGCATCGGCGGCAGTGATGTTGATGGCATTGAGGCCTGGCCGCTCGCAGATCTGTGCCTCCTTGGGCAGCAGCTGTGGTGCGTTGTCATTGATGTCAATGAGGTAGATCTGCAGGGTCCCAGTGCCACTGGCTGGGGGAATCCCTGCAGGACAGATAGGGTGAGCACACAGGGCCCCACATAGGACGACACACAGCTACATGCTGACTAGAGTTCATTTGCTATCTTGTAATCTGCTGCAGGGAAGGACCAGATGCTCTTTCCTTATCAGGGCCTGTCTGTATGGGAAACTTAAAAAAATTTTTTTTTGAGATTTTTGTTTGTTTGTTTGTTTTATGTGTTTGTTTTTGCCTGCATGTTTGTCTGTGCACCACATTTACTCAATTCTCACAGAGGCTGAAGAGGGTGTCAGATCCCCTGGAACTAGAGTCACAGATGGTTGTGAGTTTCCATGTGGGTGCTGGGAATTGAACCTGGGTCCTCTGGAAGAACAGTCAGTCACTCTTAACTGTTGAGTCACCTCTCCAGTGCCCATACAGCCAACTTTGTGGACCACAAGGACCATGGGACCTGGGGGCAGCCAGTCGGGTTAGGGCGGTCAGCTAGCTTTGGGACCACAGTAGTGCTTGCTCTTGAAGTTTCAGCTTCCCAGGTCTCCCAAGAATCCAGCAGTGCAGTCCTGCCCTGGGCCTTTGCTCATGTTCTTCCCACCACCTCTACGAAAATGGCCCTGTCAGCTTGCCCCCCACTCTCTGTGTTGCTGCTCCCATTGTTCTCGTCTCTTAAAGAGCCTGAGCCCTAAGTGTCACCTCGGATTATCACTGCCCACTGGGAGGTTACATTTCCAGTTAGATGTGATCTTGGGCCCAAGTTCTGGTCTTCACTCTGAGTGGAGGCCCTGTGTGGTGCTTCCGTGAGGTCCCCAGGAGAACTCGGGTGTCCATTCTGGACCATGCTGTGGTGCAGCACGGCCGTGGTGTGAGTGGCCTGGGTGTGGTTGCCAAATCTCATCCTGTCTAGCAGTGTCCATATTTCTCCACCTAAGCGGCTGATTTGGCTTTGAGCATGCTCTGTAACCTGGGCTGGCCTGGGCGCTGGGATCCCCCGCCTCAGGCTCTTGAGCAACTGGGAATCACCAGGCACGGGTGAGCTTCTCCTCCCCCCTACCCTATCCCTGTGTGGTGCAGAGTCTCACACATGCTAGGCAAGAGGTCTATCACTGAGCCATATACCTCCAGCTCCAGCACTCCTTAATGTGAGAGAAAACCCCGTTCAGTCTTGTTGAAGCTACTGCTATCTCATCAGAAGTGACCTCCACTGGGAAACAGTCTCTGCCAGGCAGGGGCTTGGTTTCTTCTAATCTCTGGTAGGCACCTGGCCCTCAGTGAGTTCTCCCAGGAGAGGCCTGTCTCTTCTGAGTCTGGGTTGATGCCTGACTTTCAGTGGGTTCTCAGTGAGACAGAGGATGGCAGTGGTCAGAGCCACTGACCTCTGACTCCCTCACAGGCCTGTCATCACCCATGAGGGACATGGCTCTCAAGAGGTATCAGGGTTCTTCCATTTTGCCAAGGAGAAAGTTAAGGCTCAGAGAGGCCAGGGCTCTTCCCAGGAGCAACCGTGTTAGACCAATCTCCTTTACACCTACCCAATCTCTACCACACGGAGCCCATGAGAGCTCTCAGCTGGACTTTAATGTTCTGGGTCTTGAATGGGCCTCTTGACCATAGGCTTCCCGTATTTGACCCGTAGCCCTTAGAAGCCCCAAGACAACCTGTTGGAGAGTAATCTTTGTGAACACTGTAAAGATGTGTCACTCTGATCGGTTTAATAAAAAGCTGAACGGCCAATAGCTAGGCAGAATTTCCGGGCAGAGAGGATGCTGGGAAGAAGGCAGAGGAGACACAGGGAGATGCAGAGCAGACGGGGCAGTATGGAGATGAGGTAATAAAGCTACGAGGTGAAAGTAAATGAACAGAAATGGGTTAATTTAAGTTATAAGAGCTACTTAGAAGCAAGCCTAAGCTAAGGGCAAGCTTTTATAATTAACATAGGTCTCCATGCCATCTTGTGTGTGTGTGTGTGTGTGTGTGTGTGTGTGTGTGTGTGTGTGTGTAGGTAAGGCTTGCTCCCCAAAGAAAAATCCATCTACAAGTGGCATCCAGTGTGGGGGTTTAAATATCCAAACACAGGGCCTGAGAAAGCTGAGATAAGCTCTGGACAAGGAGCTGGAGTGGCTTTCTGGTCCTGCAGTCTCTCGGGCAGGCTGGTGCTCAGTCAGTGTATAGAGGTACTGCTACCTGCAGGCCGAGCCAGCCGCCAGTGTCATGTGCCAATGTCATGTTCTAAGCTAAGCTGTGCCTACGACTGACATAGCAGTTTAAGATTTGTCTCATGTGATCAGACACAATGCCCGCATTCCCAAGAGGTGGAGTGGGTGGTTTTTGGTCATTTGGTGGGTTATGGATGTTTGTCATCACTTAGGGGTCAGCACTTGGTTACAAATTGTTACTGGTCATGGTCAGGAAAAAAGCTGAACAAAGGAGATTAGATTTAGGCATCTTTGTCTGAAGGGAAAAAAGGAGAAATAGTATAGAAATGATGGATTAAGAGCTGGATTGTTAAATCTACTTTTAAATAACTGTTAATCTCAAATATTTTATATTGGTATGGATTTTGGTACACTGACACAAACTTAAGATTATTTTTGTTATACTGTATATATGTGTCTACTCTTATTTAAGGCATTGTACTTACACAGCTCACTTTTAAGGTTATATAAAGCTTTAGTTTTTGAAAGATATTTAGGATATTAAAGAAACACAGGTTAGTAGTTAGTTATCTATAGCAAACTATAGTTATGTTAGGTATGTTTTCATGGTCAAACAGATATATTTTGAATAGATGATCTTCAAACACTTCAAAGACCTACAGAATATGACATTTAAACTGTCTTAATAACTAACAGTGAGACATGTCTGCTCCTGGCAGCACCAAGAAGATGATGGGCATCAAAGAACCTCTACAAGATGTTTGTTTTCTTTGTGGCAAAAATTAGTTACTGGGCAAGAAACTGCCCTTGCCTTGACAGATGACAGTATATTGTCCAAATTGGACAACAAGGACACAAAGGAAGTGTCTGCCAAACTTTGCCAAGACAGGGTAGGACAGTCCTTCAAAATTCCTGTTTCACAGAAAAGTCTGCCAGATATTCTAGGCCTGTAGGTCAAACATGGATGCCCCAATGTTACAGAGGAACCTTGGGTGACTGTCCAGGAAGCCATCTTTCTGTCATTTCTCTTAGTTTTGGAAGTTGCTTGTTCTGTGCTTCCTGTTATATCCTTCTTGGGTCTTTGATGGCGTTGAAGACTAGATAGTTATAGTTACAGTTTTCCTTAGTATTGATAGAAAGTGAATTAGGTACAAACTTCAGACTCATCAAGATATGATAGATAATGGAGTATTTTCTCCGAATTTGCTAAATACAAATGGACTATACATTGTGAATGTACTTCTTACTTGACAGTTGCTCTTATTGTATATAGTTTCATTTGTTAAAGTTAATACCTTTCTATTTAGCCAATACCTGATAATTATTCTTATTTTGCATAGTTTTACTATGTTAGATTTAAAACCTTTTCTTTTTATTTGGGCAAAAGGGGGAAACATTGTGGAATAATCTTTTTGTACAGTGTGAAGCTGTGTCACTCTGACTGGTTTAATAAAAAGCTGAATGACCAATAACTAGGCAGGATATCTGGGCAGACAGGACTCTGGGAAGGAGATGGAAATGCCAGGAGACACAGAGCAAGCAGGATGGGCAATATAGAGATGTGGTAATAAAATACAAGGTAGAAAAATTAATAGAAATGGGCTAATTTAAGTGATTAGAGCTAGTTAGGAACAAGCCTAAGCTAAGGCCAAGCTTTCATAATTATTAATAGGCCTTCATGTTGTTATTTGTGAGCTGGTGGCCCAAAGAAAAATCTATCTAGAAGAACTTGCACTGATTTCTTCAGCAGGACCCATCATCCTTCCTGCTCCACTCCTCATGCTCTTTCTCTGAGCTGCCTGCCCAGCATCTGCCCAACACCTGCCCAACACCTGCCCAGTGCCTGCCCAACACCTTCCCATTGCCTGCCCAACACCTGCCCAGCACCTGCCCAACACCTGCCCAGTGCCTGCCCAGCACCTGCCTAACACCTGCCCAGCACCTGCCCAGTGCCTGCCCAGTGCCTGCCCATCACCTGCTCAGAGTCCTCCCTTGCTCCCAGGGCTATCAGGCCTTCTCTGACTTAGAGTCCCAGGGTTAGGGTGGACACAGGCCTTCCTGCCTTTCCTGGCTAGGGTGCCAGCTAACAGTGTTGGAGAATGGAGGATCTGTTGTCATCACCCAATTATATGTGGGAAAGCTGAGAAGCTGGGTCAGCCATCTGCTACTACCTTTCCTGGTTCCTGGCTACCCTGGAGCCACCAGTGTCCGATGGACAGTGGGACACTGTGAGAGCAGGATCAAATGAGTAAGCAGGTCCCTAGGTGATGGGAGGGGCAGGATGGGGGCGGTGTTGGGTGGCAGAGATGCCAGTTCAGGGCTGCCTGCAGAGACTTCCCTCTGGGTACCACTGGCCCTCTTCACCAGTACCCACAACCCCAGGAAATGGGACACAGCTGTGACAGTGCCTCCCTGCAGTGGGACACACCATTGTCAGCAGCCAGGAAGGTGGCCTCATATACATTGTTCTTGGTGTAGAGTGACTCTCGGTCCAGGACTGCGGCCGTGGTGATCTGCCCATTGGATGTATTGATGTGCAGCCAGTTGGCGGGATCCGACAGCTTCGAGTACCTATGGACAGGAAGTCAGAGGCCAGGTGAGGGCCAATGCTCGTCACCCAGCCAACCTTGCAAGTATCCTAGGGTCACAGACTCAGCATCCCCATAGCACAATGGCATTGCTGTCCCCTCAGAGCGCGTGGAGGTTTCACACACCTCTGTGTCCCTCTTATGTGCTATGTCCTTGTGGTAGGTGGTCTAGATTCGGGAGGACTCAAGGAGGCGGTTTTCTCATCATCTACACTTTACAGGTGGGTATTCTAAGGTACAAAGAAGGTAAGGGCTTGCTCAAGCCACATGCCACTGCCAGTGAAGCCACGGCCTGCCTTGGCTCCACAGTCTCACATCTTCCTTGTTAGCCTGGACATGGTGACAGTGCTTATCTGTGCCCAAGGCTGTCCTGTGAAGTGACTCCCTGGGGTAGATTGCTTCTAGACTGAGCCAGTGCCTCAGGTCTGGACATGGTACCCCTTGTCCTTCCTCTTTATACTGGGATTCCTGGTTTTTAGGCTTCTTTGGGCACCATGGGACTCTTTTGGGTGACAAAGAGAGGGTCACACAAGGCCAGGCCATACTAAAGACTCACCTCACGGCTTGCTGCATGAACCGGTCAGGGTCCACTGCAGAAAAAGTAGTGAGAGCAGTGCCAGTAGGCACGCCCTCCTCCAGACGGATCAGTTTGTGGTTGGAGGGAAAGTAGGGGGCCTCGTTGACATCAGTGACAGAGATGGTCACCCCTGCTGTGGACTGGAAAGACATCTGGATCCCGCTGGCCAGGGGAGCCTGGTTGGACACCATTACAGTCAGCATGAAGGCGCGGTTCAGCTCGTAGTCCACTGCCTGGAAGAGGGGACAGGTGAACGGGGCTTCCCGTCGCGGGTGAGGGTTGGCCATCCACAGTGGCCAGAGGCTCTCCCTGCCCTGCTTCATCTGATCACCACCGTCCCTCTACATCAGACCCTTGTTTCTGATATCTTCTGGCCAATTCAAGGAGAGGGGGTGGGATAAAACTAGCCAGCAGCCCCATGCCTTGATGAGGCTGAGACTGGGCTTCTGCGGCATGGATCTTTCGGCCTTAGCTTCCCAAGTGTTGGGATTGCAGGTGTGTATCTCCATGCCTGGCTTCATGAGTTCTCAGTAACAATTCCTTAATTACTATGAGCAATGGCCTCCAAAATACCCAGGACCTCACACTGGGCTCTGGTGGCTGTGAGCTTCCAGGGACAAATGTGCTGGGGGTCTTGAGAGTCATTGCAGCCACCAGAAGCTCAGAAAATGCAACCGGGAGCCAAGTGTAATGATGGCCAAAGGTTGACTTTGGTTTCGGGGCAGGTAAAGACATCTGCCGCCATGTCCAATGATGTAGAACCCACGTGGTTGGAGGAGAGAACCAACTCCTGCAAGTTGTCCTCTTGCATGAGTGGCACACGTCTCTCCCCTGACCCCACACTAAATAAAACAAAAAGTCTAAAAAGTAAGTTTTTGCTGGACACAGTGGTGCATGCCTGCAATCCTGCATTCAGGAGGGGGGAAGACTGCAAGCTTGAGGTTGGCCTGGAAGACATAGGGAGAATGTCTCAGAACCCCAAACCAAGCCAAGTCAAGCAGCAATGTTTAAGCTTTTTGCTTATTTTGCTTTTCCTTGTACTTGTTGCTAGTTTTGTGTTCCCAGTTAGAGACTTAGAGTAATATGAATGCAGTTCTGTGGTCAGGAATAAAATGTCTGTCCCTGGGCTAGAGTCCAACAGCAGGGCCAGTTCCTTCCAGAGACTCCTGTCTCGCACACTTCACCCTGGAGAGTGGCTGCTGGCCTCCAGCTGCTTCTGACTCCTGCCTCTGTCTTCACCTTCCCTGTGTGCTAGTTAGTTTTAGGTCAACTTGACACAAGCTAGTGTCCTTTTAAGAGAGGGTACCTCAGTTGAAACAATGCTGCCACCAAGTTGGCCTGTGGTACATTTTCTTGATGGACGGATGGTGTGGGAGGACCCAGCCCCCTGTGGGTGAGGCCACCCCCTGAGCAGGCACTATAAGAAAGCAGCTGAGCAAGCTATGGGGGGCAGCCCAGGAAGCCACACCCCTCCATGGCTCTGTATTAGCTCCTGTCTCCTGGTTCCTGCCCTGGTTGAGTTCCTGGCCTGACTCCCCTCAACAATAGATTGTGCATGGGACATGTAAGCTGAAATAAACCCTGTAGGGAGGATTCCCAGGTACCTGTAGCGCTGACCACACCCATTGGGATAAAAGAACTGGGAAGGAGACTCTCGCCCTCTTTTGGGGTTCAGGCCAGGTCTTGGAGTGCATATGAGACTGGACTTCTCGGAGCGCCAGTCTGGTTATCGGCTTCTTGTGTGAGTTGTTTTCATTTTAATATATCATCAATAACCATATTTTGTGTACGGTTGTGTTCTTTTTCAAAACCCTTTCCTCCCCAAGTTACTTTTGGTCATGGTGTTTTATCACTGCAATAGAACCCCCAACTCTCTGACCTTTCTGCTCCCTCTCTTAAAGAGAGGTTACACTGGGCTGACCCAGATGGTCTGGGCTTTCCTCAAACCCTCAACACTGTTACATCTACAAAGACCCTGGCTGCCATCTGGGACAAACAGTCACAGATTCTAGAAACAGGCACGGGGTCCTGGAAGAGATGGCACTGAAGAAGTTTCCAGGCCCCTGCTTTTGAGAAAGACCTCTGTGAATAGGAACACAACCGTACACAGGATATGGTTATTGATGATATATTTATAAATGAGAACAACTCACATGAGAAGTTGATAAACAGATTGGCACTCTAAGAAGTCCAGTCTCAGCTGCACTCTGGGACATCCCCTCCCCCCCCAAAAGAGACAGAGAGCCTCTTCTCCTTGCTCTTTATCCTACCCATTTCTATGTACCTGTGACCATCCCCATTTGGTATCTAGGTATCTCTCCCTACAGTCCTCAAATGAAGTTCTGAAGTCATCTTTCAGGAGACCCCTCCGATAACCAGATTGGCACTCCCGAGAAGTCAGTCTCAGCTGCACTCTGAGACCTGACCAGAACTCTGAAAGAGGCCAAGCGCCTCTCTTCCTCACTCTTTATCCTACCCCAGTACGTACTTGTGACCACGCTCAAATGGGAGTGGTCAACGGTACAGGTATCCAGGATCTCTCCCTACACCTGCATCTGGTTGGAACTTAGAAAAGTACTAGACAATGGGATGCTAAGAGTGGTCCAAGTGAGGAGTAGACTGAGACCCTGAATTACATCAGCAGATGGTCTCAGAGCTGAGTGCACTACTCTGCAGCTTGCTGTCATTCTATGGGAGAGTTGGTCTGTCACTGCCTGAGTCCATAGGCCAGGCCTTGATGACCTTAAGCAAGAAAGCCATATACCACAGCTCCCTAGCCTCCAACCTCTCCCTGAAGGACCCTTCCTGGCTAATTCTTTCTTCAAAGGAAGCTCAAGAGTACATGGCTGGGGCACTGGCTCAGATGCCAGTGGGAACATCCTCAGCCGTCTGACTCAGCTTCTTCAACAGGGCAAAGGTAGGTAGAATATGAAGCCTGACAGTTACCGGGGGAATTCACATGGCTCCCTGACTCTCACATAGGCCTGCCTGGGTCTTCATGAGCCCTGTTTGGGGAAGAGCTTTGCTGGTTGAGCCGGCTTCCCACTTCTATCTGTGTCCTACCTTCAGGTGCCAACTGGGCTGGGCCTGACTCCTGAGTCTGTGGCTAAGTGGACCTGAACCCAGCCTATCTCTGGATACCTATCCTTGGAGCCCTGAACTGTGGTGTCCTAGTGTGCCACTATGGGAAGTTTCTATGCATGGAAAGGAACTAAAAACTAGGTAATCAATAGTGCTGCTGGGCACGGGAAGGAAACAGAGGAACTGCTGTCTAGAGCGGTGCCAGAGAGGCTGCCGGCTCCCTTGATGGTAACCTTGGTGAGCCCTCCTCCTTTCCCCCAAACCCTGAGTGTGCTCTTATCTTTCTGTGGCACATGGTAATGTCTACCTGTCACTTCCCCCAGGACCTGGAGCACGGCCAGGCCTGTGCTTCGGCCTCCTCAGGCCCAGATATTGCTGGAGAGGTCAAAGTACAAGTGGGAATGGGCTGGTCCCCCCCTTACCCTGTCTCTGCCCAGCAACTGTGTTGCTGGACGCCATACAGGGCCTGTGCCTAGAAGGTCACTTGGTTTGGACCCACAACCATCCCAGCTGGCTGCAAGTTTGACTCGGTGTCCAGGGCTCTTGAAAGGTCTCACAGGGGCTTTTAGGCCTAGTCCTGGCTCCTCTGTCCTTAAACTCCAGGTGCCACTAAGCTCCCAGAACTGGTACTGCACTGTGACAAGGTCTTCCTCTTGCATAACCAAAGACTGCCGATGCCTGAAGCCCCTCCTGCAAGCCCCAGGCAGAGGTCAAGCCAATTTTCTTTAACAGGCTGCTCCATAAGACTGTGAAGAGAACAGTTTCTCTGTGTTTATTGGCTCATGTCCCTGTGGGACATGGAACCACATTGTATGTGAAGCCCTGAAAATCAGTTCTTCCAGAAAGACTATGGCCAATAAAACCCACAGACAGGTAAAATAAAACCACACCTGTAATGTGGAAACCAATAGAAAATTTTTTCTGACAGTTTCAATTAGGATGCTGGACGTACTCACTAAGGTGACACCCACCCCCAAAGACTCTTGGCTCAAAAGGGAGGGCCAAGCACACCCTTAAAGAGGTGTGCCCTTAGCATCAAGCCAGAGAGCAGGGTCATAACATATCCTCCTGCCTCTGAAGAGCTGGGTGTGTGCACAGCCTCATATGAAGGAGAGTCTTGTTCAGAAGAAAATGCCAGCGAGGACGTGAAGGCCCAAATCTGAACCATTTCCCCTTTCCCAGTGGAAGGTGGTGGGTAAGGGGTGGAGACAGGAGGATCAGGAGTTTAAGGCCAGCTTTGGCCGTACAAGTTTGAGGCCAGCCTGAGCCAGGAGAGACCCTGTGAAGGTTGTCTCCAAAGGCGTTGGCCCTCTGCCCTAGGTGGCTGACAGACATGTATGTTCCTGGACTAGGGAATGTGCCGGAAACCGTCACCCACCTTCACCACGGTGACCATGCCCTCATTGGTGACAGGGTCTGTGCGGACAGTGAAGTGGCCGGAGGGGTCCCCACTGATGATTCGGTAGACGGCATTCCAGTTGGGTGAGTGAGGCTGATCTCGATCCATTACTGTAAGGTTGGCTACTACTGTCTCCACACGGTTTTCGGGGACCTCTCCTGCAAACTGCAGAATGTAAGAAAGAATATTAGGACCTCAGATAGAGCTTGGGGCAAGGGGGGCATACTTGCTGGACCCGGCCAACACTGGGAAGTGGTAGGGTCAGTGCTCTGGAGTAGATACCTAGGGGGATGGGACAGCTGGTATTCACTGTGATGACAGAGAGTGCCCTGGCTCCTCAAGCTGAGGACCGGCAGCACCCGAGGCTCCCATCGGCTCCCATCTCCCAGAATGAACCTCACCCGTGCACCAAGTGCTTGCACAGGCTCCCCTCCTACACTCAAGCTCTTCTCATGTGCATGGAGGATTGATGGCAAGTGGTTAGGATAGGTACATGATGGAGAGCAAGGGGTGGACAGGGGAGCAGGACTCCAACAGTGGCAGCCGGAAGAGACACATGTCCTGGCTCCTGCCACCAGCAGGCAACTGCTCCAGGTGGCTTGGGGTCAGCCACTATAGCCAGTGACCAAACAGTACAGTGAGGTTGCTGTGTGTACCTGCAAAGGCCCCAGGGCCTCACTCGGAGTGGAGGAGGGGCGTGTCTGCCTTAGGAATCCATGTCCACTGCCAGCTGTGGCCCACTGCTGGGGCTGGCTTCTAGATTTTGTTCTCAGCAGCTCTGAGCTCACAGGCTCTGCTGTCTTGAAATTCACCCTAGCAAGATACATAACTGTCTTGTACATTGAGGATCAGATGGGAGCCCCATGCGTATCCTATAGGATGTCCCCACAGTGTCCCCCAGTGCTGCTCTGGAGCCAGGCTCTTCCAGTCATCCACTGGAACAATGGATGGACTTGAAGAGTTGCTGTAAAGCAGAGGGTTCATTTGATTTTCAGGCTGTGGTCAGCCTCGCTGCCCTGAAGCAATGAGGCCTGAGGCTGCAGAAGGTTCCCTTAAGACCACGAGTACAAGGGAAGTAAGTGCACAGCCTGCTTCCAGAGGGTCTTACTTTCAAATCTTCCTCTTTTCCATTTAGCACAGAGGGGCACGAAGCAACCTCAGAGAGGACAGCAGACTGAGTTGTAGGCATACATGTCCAGGGCCTGGCTTTCTCACTGGGTTCCCAGGCTGTTCTGTGTATCTGGGTGAGGCTGTCATTGCTGGTGGCCTCCATAGTGACATTCTGAGTCAGCAATAGGGTTGCCACAGTGTCTGAGTGTCCCCTTGCCACGATATGGGGAGCTTTCCTTGGAGGGAGATCACAGGGGCTTAGGGACAGGCAGTGTTGCAGGCTGAGTCATGTCCCCTAAATTTATATGTTGAGGCCCTTAGCCCCAGCACCTTAGCCTGTAACGGTGTCTCAAGAGGTGTCAGTGTGAGGCTGGGAGTTATCCTAAGCCAGCCTATGTGGCACCCTTGTGAAGAACAGTCCCCAGTGACACATGTATTAGGGTGTATTAGTTATACGTTACACCCAGGTTATTGGGGTAGGTGCCTCTAGGAGGACCTTAAAACCTTGGCGCCTGCAGGCACAGATGCTTGACTCTGAAAGTTCAGTGGACTCCTGCCCCTGGGGAACTACTTTCAGGACTGGTAAGTGAGCCATCTGTCTGTGATTGCCACCTACCTGCTCTGGTTTGGGTAAGAGTCCCAGGTGATGAAGATTTGCTCTCTAAACTGAGGCAGTGTTGGGAACAGGGTAGAAACTATACTGGTAGGTACCGGTTAGTGTGAGGGAGTCAGGTGACTGGGTGGGGTTGTGCTCTTGAGGGGGCTATGGAGCCCCTGACCCCTTATTGTCTGTCTTTGCTTCCTGGTGAGTAAGTGAGCAGTTTTTTTCTGCTTCATGCTCCCACCTCCAATGATTTGTGGTCTCAACTCAGGTCCACAGTGACTATGGATGGGAACCTCGGAAAACACGCACTGAAATAAGCTTTTCCTCATTGTACACCCATGATCTCACTGTCATAGTTCAGAAATCCAATACCAGGAGTGCAGCATAGCCTGGCCGAGTGCCCTTCAGATGGGCACTGTCCTACTGTGTGCTGTCCCTTGACCTGCTGGGAGGTGACCTATGGGAACACCACGACCTTCTTCTGCCTTTCAATCATTTAACTTAGTGTCACTCACACCTGTGAGGGGACAGACCATCTTGCATGTAAGATGTAGACAAGCTTTCTGGGCTCAGAGAGGTCTGGACATCAGCCAAGGCCACACAGCAAGAAGGGGTCAAGACTAGCTCAGGAGTGGCTATGTGTGGGTGGGAGGGGCAGGGCTTAGAGAAAGGCCACAGTTTCTGGGTCTCAGGGTTCCCCATTGGGATCTGTGCATGGGGCAGGTTGGAGGCTCCGGGGTCATGCTGTGAAGGTTGTTTTCCACCCCAGCCTGTCCTGTATCACTCTGGAGGGTAATTGCTGAAAGTAGGGTGGTCCTGGGTGAGCTATGGGCTCTGCCCTCCAGGGGGCACTGCAGCTGCACAGGAGCAAGAAGGAAATAACTTTTAATTAACACTTAAGAATAGAAATTGGAGCTGGCAAGTCCCTGCATCTCTTTAGCGTTGCCTGATTGTTCCTGATTAAGCTTCACAAAAATAGCCCGTGTGTGGTGTGTGGCCAACCTGCCCGCACACTCCCACTGTGAAGCAAAGACAGTGTTCTGGGGCATCTGCCTGCTACTCATCTGGACGGGGCCTGGCCAGGGCCACCTGGAGCCCATGTATGTACAGATGTCTTCGGAGAGCATACTGAAGAGGAGGCGTGGAGCTTGGCTTGGAAAAGTGTCCTGTACTCATGGAATTTCAGACTGCCACCTGCTCGTCCCACCTTGCCCTCCATGTCCCAGGGAAGCAGGATTTCCCACTGTCCTTCATGGGTTTCGTGAGGCAGGACCAACCTCTGGAAAAGAGTTTTGTGCCATTGTATTCCGGCTGTGACCCTCCAGCTGCCTGTGCTGGCTGGGGTCACAATGGGGCCACTGCTCTCTCCAGAGCGTCCACCTCCTCACTTACGCCTCACAGATGGCATGGGGACCTTGCAGGTTGTTTGCAGTATGGCTGATGCACATGGGGGAGGATGAAGTTGAGTTAGATGGTACATGGTGGTTCAGGCCAGACCCTGGGCAGAACCGGTCCATCCACAGTGCCTCCTGCTGAACCCGGGTGTGGGCAATTCCCCTGAGTTGTTGTGGAAGGGCACTAGGTGCCAGGGACGTGTTTCTCACTGTGGGCCATGGTCACCCTCAAGCAGCGCAGTAGGGCTCTGGGCAGCAGCACAGCTGGTGTCAGAGCTGCCAGCTTGTGTCCTGCTAAGTCTGACCTGAGATGATCTCATAGACAGTCTGAGACAGGGTTCATTTGTTTGACATAAGAGTAGGGTTTGCTGGCTCTGTCTGTCTCTGAACCAGGGTATCTGTGGGGTGTCCTGTCCTTTCCAACCAACATAGCTTCTTGGAGATCTTGGTATGAGCAAGGTGGCATGGGCCCTATTTCCAGATGAGGAGAACGGGGTTTGTGGCAGGCAGGGTCCTTCAGCACCACACAGCACCCTCTGAGGTTCCTTCCAGTGCCACCAGTCTCTTTGGTGAAACCCTCCTCCTGTAGGCACGTTCCTTGAAACCCCTCAGGCCACTGCTGGGGATGAGTCCGAAGCTGAACTCTTTTGGCTTCCCTCTGTCCTGGCTCTCATGGTGACCATAGCATTCCAAGGCTGCCTCCTGAGGGTAGGTGCAGGGCAGGTGTGGAGGGCTGATGTCAGGAGAGCTGTGTGGTTTCTGCACCCCAGCATCTGCTCTCCAGCAGTCTGGAATGGGCATAGGGGTGTTTTCTTGGGAGCACAGTGGCCCTGACTTAGCAGAGGGTCTGAGCACCATGTGATTATCCTGGGGTCCCACAACACTGATGCCTGGCTTAGCAACACTTTCCGTGTAGGGAAAAAGGGCCAGCCAAAGAAACACACCCTGAGCAGAGCCAAAGAAACACTCTTTGTCCCCGGAATCAGAGCCAGTGAAAGAAATACACCCTGGCCCTAAAATTAGAGCCAAGAGGCTAAAAAGGACCAGTGAAAGAAACGTATTTTGGCCCTGTAACCAGACCCAAATCTGACACTAAACCTGAGCAGAAAACCAACCAGTCACTGAGCAGGAGATCTAACCAATCTGAGCTGAGGGATTGAAATCTGACCAATCCTCACCCTGGAAATCTCCCTGGAAAAACTCCGCCCCTTAGAAGCCCTATATAAACCCTGTGCCTGTTCAGCTTGTGGCTTTCAGGCTGTCCAGCTGTCCTCTGCCACCCTGGGATTCTTCCCTCCCAGTAAATCTCTTGAATGAGGTTTGGGTGAGCAGGCCTGTAACACTTTCTCTGAGGAAACCTTTCCCTAGGGAAGCAGAGTTGTTAGGAATTGTTACACTACACTCCAGGGGACCCAAGCTGAACTGTAACAACTTTGCTGGAGAAGCCATTCCCTGCCAGAGCAGAGCAGTTACAATGGGGAAGTCTTTCCCTGGAGCAGGGCTGTAAGCTGCTATGCTTACTGTGACCTGTGGTATTCCTTGGCTCCTGATTGCCAGAATACTTTCCCATCAGAGCTGTAACACTCAGTATTCTGTGGCTACCGAGTGCCAGAATCCCTTTCCATCTGAGTTGAATTAACACTTACAGTCCTGATTTCCATCCCCACCCCAACTTAACACAAGCTAGGGTTATTTGGGAAGAAGAACCTTATTTGAGAAAACGCCTCCATCATATTACCTGTAAGCAAATCTGTGGGCCATTTTCTTGATTAATGGCTGATGTGGGAGGGCCCAGTCTACTTTGGGGGGTGTCACACCCCCTTGGCTGGTGGTCCTGGGTGCTATAAGAAAGCAAACTGAACAAGCCACAAGGAGTAAACTAGTAAGCAGTGTTCCTCCATGGTCTCTGCTTCAGTTCCTGCCCTGAGTTTCTGTCCTGACTTTCCTTGGGCTGAAACTGTGGATCTGTGATCAGAATGTGTAAGCTACATTAATTAACCCTTTCCTCCATAATTAACCCTTGCATTTGGTCATGGTGTTTTATCACAGCAACAGAAACCTAATTAAGACAATTGGGCTGGTGTCTGAGAGTGGTACTGGCTCTGATCCTGACAAGGCCACCCTGGGTACATACCCTGCCCTCCTGCGATGGCTGTGGCAAAGCATGGTCTAGGCCAGGGGTGGCCCCAGTGTGGGCCTGGCCCAGGCAGAAGGATGGCTGTGCCAGGGGTGTCGCTTGCAGGTCTAGGGTCAGTGACTGCTTTCCTGGAGCCTGGCCCTGGCCTTTCTTCCTCTTGTCTGATAGAGGGAGAGCAAAGAGATTGAATCCAGAGAGAGGCCCCTCCAGCTTTCTCAAGGCCTCTTTTGACAGTGCACCAGTGCTTCTCCAGGGCGAGCAGCCCCGCCAAACCCTCTACCCCTCCTTCCTGCTCCTGTTGTTTGTGGTAAGGGACAGAACTCACAGTCTGCCGGGGACCTGGGCAGAGCTTGTTGTTGGCCATCTTTTTGGCCACTAGATGGTGTTGTGGTCCAGGAGACCAGGAATGGGGCGTTCGTTCGTTCATGCTCCTGCCTGGGCTCCAGCCTTCTAGGCAGGCACCTTGACCTTAGGCAGAGCGTTTCCCCCCTCTCATCTCCACATGCAGCCACTTCCAGGGTTCAGTACCAGATGTTCCCTGTGGGCTGTGCCGGGAGCCCCATGTCCTGGCCCACCACCGGCCCTGACTACTCACTGGTTGGGGACCAGAGACTGAGAGGGCAGACTGGTTGGGGCCTGATGGAGAGTGTCCACCCGTGTGTCTGATAGAGTCCTTGTTGTCACTATTATGGACACAATGCTCCTCTTCACTCTGCCTCTGTGCGTGACCTTCTGACCTTCCCCTCTGCATATCCTGGCCAGACACCTGCAGTCTGCCATCTAGTCAGGGCTGGGCTGGACTATGTGTTCACAGAGGCACAAGAACCACAGGTCACAGCACTGTTCACCCATTCATGGACTTGGGCGTCATGGAGGCAGATGCTAGCAAGCAGAGAGATGTCTGAGGCCAGGGCCCCAGAGGATGCTGGGAGGCCCAGAAGTGGTTATCACATTTGCTGGGCACTGAGAGAGCCTAAGGGTCTCATAGGCAGGGACCCTCCCTGGAGCATGGCTGTTCCATGGGAGTCCAGGGGAGATGGGGGTCATGTGACTTATAGTTCTGTCTCCAGAACCTTCTCTCCCAGGGTGGGGCAGAGGTATGTTCCTCTGATCCATGGCTGTCGGCTCACAGTGGACTTTCTATACCATAGTTGGGTGGGTACATGCCTGTTCAGCAAGATACCTTGACTTCTAAGGTCCCAGTGTCCAGTGCCTGCCTAGTCTTTACCAATTTTCTTGTCTGGGGATGGGAACTGTACCGGGCCAGCCACTGTCTACTGAGGACCAAGGTAGAAAGGGGACCTTTGCTTCAAGGACACGCAGTATCCATAGCCAAGGCTCAGCTGGGCATCTGGCAAGCCAGTATGCACTGCACCGTCACAAAGCCTCCCCAAATATATGATAGCCTGATCAGCCACCTTCTGCAGACTTTACAAAGATCTCAGCAAGGTATCAGCCAATCACTTAATCTTGGGGAGCACTAGGCCCTTAGGGCCACCTCTGCACAAGAGTATCTAGGCCCATTCTTTCTCATTAGAGATGGCTGCCATGGTGTCCCTCTCTGTCCGCTACCTATGCCTCAGTATTTGTTGACCACAATCCATTCAGCTCTTCCATTAGAGCCCTTCCCCTACTGAGAGGGATGTGCCAGCTTGGGGCTGGCATCATTGCGAGGATGTGAGGTACTCACTGTGCTTGTGGTGAATTCTGGAGGGTTGTCATTTACGTCTGTCACCGTGATAATGGCTGTGGCTGTGTTTGAGAGACCATAGTTGAGGTTTCCCTCCATGTCAGTGGCCTGGACGATGACTGTGTACTGCTGGACTTTCTGGAGGGGGAAAGACAAAGGGTCAGTCTGGGTTCGGGAGACAGGGAATGCAGGCTTCCTCAGTGGGGTTCATCCTTGGCACAGGCTGCCTGGGACTTCCTGGAGCTGTGGCACCTGCTGTAGCCTTGCGGTAGGTGGCTGTGGCAGGAGCCCAACCGTATTTGTATCTCGGCAGCCTTCAGTGGGTGCAGAGGGGCAGAGCAGGGTTCAGAGGGACCTGCACTGTCTTCAGAGTGCGGTAGCAGAGAGGAGAGTCTGCAAGATGCAGGGCCAGGCTAAGGGATGTCGCTGTCAGAGTAAAGCTGAGCTGGAGTAAAGCTAGGACTGGAGTCGGGGAAGGAACGACAGGCCAGTAAACAGCAAGACACAGCGGTGTGGTTCGCGAGCTCTGCAGCGAAGCAGAAGTGAGCATCTGGATGCAGGTGGGCTCCTTGAAAGGCAAGCAAAGGTGATGATATGCTGCATCAGGCCTGGGGGGAGTCATGTGACCCCCTCCCGCTCGCCCCTGCACTGAGAGGCAGAAGCACTGGGGATCACACACCTCCCCCACCAGAGGTGTCACGCTGTGGGAATAACAGTGCCGACCAGCATGGGGGCCAGCTCTGTGGGGACCCTGTCACCTCGCACTTGCACCACTGGGGACAGGGTAGAAAGGGTCCCTCTGGAACATCTTCCAAATGACTTAAATCTCCACTCTTGCTCCCCTAAAAGGAGAAGTGTGTGATTCTATCCATTGGCTCCAGATGGGTCACAAAATTCCTCTGTCAATTCATCCACCATCCCTCCATCTACCCATCCATCCCTATACCCATCCTTCTTTTCTGTCCATCTGTCCTTCCCTTCCTCCCCCGTTCCCTCCCCTCTGCCCCTCTCACTCCTGCCATCTGTATTCCGTCCTCTTCCTCTCTCTGTCCCAGACACAGCCAACCTGGCAGCTGGAGAGGGACAAATAAGTAAGCCAAAGCTCAGCACTGCCACCTGTGTGGCACTGGAAAAAAGATAAACAGAAATAAAGAGGCTTATTATATATGAACACATGTGCTTATATGTGTATATGTACATATGAATGCCTGTGGGCATGTAGGAATGTGTGTAACCTATATGCATGTATATGTGTACATTCGTGTGTATACATACCTGTATACATATATGTATAGTGTGCATGTGTGTGTATGGCAGCCTGACACTAGAGGGCGAGCTGGGCTTGCTTTTGGACAGCAGGACCCTGGGAGGGAAGCTAGTCCAGCAAGATTGGAGAAATACTGCAGGGCCTCAGAAGAAGCAGGCTAGCCAGGCTCTAGAGTCTACAGCCTGCCCCTGAATCCATGTGGGGCTCAGCTGGGCAGTCTCTGCCCCTGTATTATCCCTCCATGGAGACAGAAGGACACATTTTCAGGAGGTGCTGGGTACAGTGGGCATGCTGTGTTCAGAGTCACTCCTACTGGTCAACTGCTTTCCCATGGAACCCCTTCCCCAGCTCCCATTCGGTACAGAGAACAGGGCAGGTGTCCCTGCAGCTGGTCCCAGTGGAGCTGCAGTGAATTCATTAAAAAGCGATTTAACCATTTTCAAGCTTGAGAACAGGAAGCAGCCATCCCTAGGGCTCTCACTCTCCTCCCTGTGCCCTCCCTGCAGAACATCCATCAAGAATGCATCAGTCAGCTTGCCCTAGCACCCAAGCTTCCCCAGCAGCCTGTCCCCATATATAGCATCCCTTGCCAGCCTGGACTGTTGTCCTGCTAGCTGTGTTCTCTAGGTCAGGCCAAGTCCATAGCTGGGAGCTCTTAACTTCGCCTCAGGCGCTGTCCCCAGTGAGTTTTGAGACTGTCTTACCCACAAGGCTCCAAGAAAGCCTCCTACTCATTCTGGGTTCTCTGACCCTAGCAGGTGGTCATATACAATTGAGGTCCAGAGACCAAACATATAGGACCCCAAGTCCCTTCATTCTCCATTGAGGCCAAAGCCATCGCTGACCACTCTGCTCTGTTCAGGGCTGTTCTGTGTCTGCTTCCCATGGTTCCCAGGGGTCACTCCTCTTGGGCTTTCCTATCGGCCATTGATGGAACCTTTTTTTGTTTCCTCAGATACTGAGAAATGGAGAAGCTGAAGCCATCTTCTTGTTGCTCAGCGTCTAGAGACTGCTCTGTGCCCAAGGGCCCAGTGAGGTGGTTTGTGGGGCCGCTGTGAGGGCAGAGGGATATGTAAGCACAGTGGGAACAGTGCAAAGTTGTACTTCAGGTTGGCACGCAGCCTAGAAACCCCACTCCTGAGTGTGGATTCCAGGCCTCAAAACAGGTGTTCACACAAATGATTTACGCCAGTGTGCACATGGCACCATCCACAAAGGCCAGCCAGCCCATAATGGGTACTCAAAACATGGTGTGTCCACACGATGGAGTATTACTCAGCCATGAAAAGGAAAAGCCTTTTGACACCTGCTATGCTAAGATGAACCCCAAAGCCCCAAAGCCATTGTGTCAGGTAACAACAGCCAGGCCCACAAGCCACACGGATGTCCCCATTAAGGAGACATGTTGACATCAGGCAAGTCCACGGATGGCAGAGGATGCCTACTGGGGTGACACCAGCACTGTGGGGCTCCTTTTAGGGGTGATGAAAATGCCCAGGAGCTAGGCGGAAGTGATGGGTGTGCAACCCTGTGTGAGTGAACTGTAGGGTGAATTCCACAGCATGTAAATTACAGCTCAAGTCACTGGCACTAGACAAGAAACCCAACTCTTCTCAGTGGGGTGCACACAGCTCTTCCTTCTCACTGCTGCTGCCTGTGGGGAACCAATGCAGGCTGTAAGCCTTGGGCTTGGGACATGTGGTGGGCAACACAGCCCTGCTCTCATCAGCCACCCTGAGGGGACTCTGCTCACTATCCTGCATGGTTTCGTGGGGGATGCTGTTGGAGATTCCAGATTTCCATACAGCTTCAGGGTGACCCTTACAGCAGGCCCCTTACAGCAGGCTGAGCCCTGTCATGGAGCTGTCCTGACCCTCTGCAGGTTGCTCTATCTATTCTCCTACATCCCGGAGCCAGGAGGAGGTGATTGCTGTGTGGACAGACCGCCTGATCCACATTCGTCTACAGTAGCCCTGGGCCCTAGCATCAGAGACCTACAGTGTGGGAGAGTCCTTTGCCATGTCCTAGTTGTTGAGGCTTTCTTGCTTAGGGTTTGAGTGGTGAAACTGTGCACATCTCACAGTGTGCCCAGGTTGACTCTTGGTGACAACTCGGCACCAAGTGCAGAGCCACGGCCACCAACAGGGCTCTTAGCAAGGGTGGTCCCCAGCATGGCCAGTGTCTTGGGCAAACATTTCAGGGACCATTACAGTCTCTGGAATCTGGGCTTCCCTAGCCCCCTAACTTTAGGATATGAGTAAAAACCAGGTTCTGGGTCTGGAGAGATAGCTCAGTCTTTAAGAGCGCATACTGCTCTTGCAGAGACCTGAGTCTGAGTCCTAGAACTCATGTCAGGTGTCTCACTCCTGCTCCGGGGGATTGAATTCCTCTGACCTCTGCCATTGGGCCTCCACTCAAACTCACTCTCTCTCTCTCTCTCTCTCTCTCTCTCTCTCTCTCTCTCTCTCTTTCTCTCTCTCTCTCTCTCTCACACACACATGTGTAATTAAAAATAATCAAGACAAATCTTTAAAACAACCCCCCATTCTCTAGTTCTGCATGAGCCTCTAGTTGCTGAGTCAAAGTTTCTTGCCCAGACTTCAGCATTGCTCACTGCAGCCTGAGTGTGTGTGTGTGTGTGTGTGTGTGTGTGTGTGTGTGTGTGGAGAGAGAGAGAGAGAGAGAGAGAGAGAGAGAGACTCTATGCTCTACTTGGGGGGGGTACAGAAACACTCAGGGGCTCCTATCTGCCTAGTCCTGCCACCAGCTCCTGGCACTGCCTGTATAACTCCCGAGGGGGCTCCCCTCCTTTTTCCTTCCAGCCAGCAGCTCTTTCTGCTGCATCAAAAGCAGAGAAAATGCAACTCTTCTCAGTGGGGTGCACACAGCCCCTCCTTCCCACTGCTGCTGCCGGTGGGGAGCCAACAGCCTAGCAAGCCTCAGGCTGGAACATGATGGAGTCAGCGTGCTTGCTCTCTCAGCTCTCACCAGTCACTCTGTTCCTCCTCTCACTTCTCCATTGGGCACCACCCATGACCACTGAGGACTTGAGGAATGAGGTTGAGTGGAGGGAGTGTCCTTGCTTCAAAGCCTGAGGGCTGAGGGATCCAGGTGTCTTCCTTCTCAGCCCTTTCTGGTAATCCCCCCAGCTCTCATCAGGCCCTGCAGGCCGCTGATGGAAATAGCAGCCTGAACACTGCCCTCCTTCCCTTCCCCCTTCTTTCTCCTCCTTGAGGCTGTGGACTACCCACCCTGGGGTTCCTGTCTTTCCAAGGCTGACTGTGGGACAGCTCTTCCCAAATGAGGACTATTGACATTAGCAGCCAGGTCACACTCTGTTGCTGAATGTCCCATGCTCTATGGGGGTGCTGGGTAGCATCCCTAGACTGCCTGTGGGGTGTGAGGAGTCGATCACAGACATCAGCAGTGTAGTAATATCCCAAGGGGGGTGTCATTTGAGAAGCAGGGCTCTAAGGAAGGAGGCAGGCAGTAAATAAGGGAAAATGATCAGATAACGACAAGGGCTGTGCAACCATGGACAGAGGATGTCAGGCATGGGGCGCTAATTGAGTTAACCATCTCTGGTTAATGTGCTTGGGGAGGACTCTTGCGAGCAGCAGGAATGGTTTCTGCTAAGGCCCTGGGGGGAGGTGGTGTGTGTGTGTGCGTGTGCGTGTATGTATGTGCGCACGCGCGCCTGCGTGTGTGTACTCCAGAAAGTTTGGCCTGTGATGGGGAGCGCAGTCTCGAGGGTATGGAGGGATCAAAGGCAGAGTCTAGAATTATTTAGAGTGAGACAGGAAACCATGGGGAGGTTAGAGGTGACGAGCACAGGAGGCCTGAGGGACTGCAGAGCAAGGACAGATGGAGA